TCTGCTATATATATATATATATATATATATATATATATATATATATATATATACATATATATATACAGTATAAGCCTTTATATATTTAAAAGCATAACTTAATTTGACTCCACCAAACAAAAGATTTGAAAAAGAAAGAGTTTCAGATGCCAGGCTGCTACAAAGCACCAGAGCCATCATTATTTATGTTTGGTTAATAGCCCTAGCCACATTACAGGCAAGGTTGTGACAGCACTGAGCAACAGCCAAGTCCAATTTTGCTGCTCTCCACACTTTACCTTTCCAAACTGCACAGGCACTGAGTCTGAAATACAGCTGCTCTCACCCATCAATCACTCTTCAGTCCACACATGCAGACAGGTAGAGCTGCCTCTAGTGCACCTGTGAGGAGTAAATTCTGCTGCACTGACAGAGCCTTACACTGGCTGTATAGGCATTCAGATTTAAGACAGGTGAGCCACTTATTTTAGGCACTTAAGGCATAGAATAGAGCACTGCAATCTGAACTTTTGGTATCTGCCGGAGACTTTTTCTTCTTGTAATGGTAAGACATGTTTCATGCTGTTTCTCCATAAAGAGCTACATATGGTTTTAGGTCTGGCATTTGTTCTGTGAGTGCTCTTCAAAAAAAAATGTAAGTGATGTATTGATGTATACTCTGTACTTTGTCTCCACCTAGTGATCATAGGTAAAAACCATATCAGGCCATACCATAAAATAAAAAATAAAAGATAAAATAGAATACAACTGAATGAATGAATGAATGAATTTCCAGAACTAAATGTACTAATAATCATAACCTAAAAAAAAAAATCTGATTTGTCAATAGAATTCCAACTGCTGATTTTTTCCTCAGTATGAAGCCGCAATAACTTTCTTGGGGACCATGGCACACTGCTCAGCTGTGCTATGACTGACAGGTTTTTATGAGCTATCAATCATCTAAAGCGTGGTCTGTGTGTGTTGTCGTGTGTTGGGGGAGGTCGGACCCACGGCCTAGCCTGACATTTAGAGAAGGAGCGATGCTCACCGAGGAAATCCCATTACAGCAAAGAATGATGGATCTTTCTCTTCTAAAAAAGTAATATGCAGCCTGACATATAACTTTTTATAATTTGTAAAAATAAAATGATTACATTCAGTCCTAATGCTTTTTATTTTTATTTTATTATCTGTTCCCTCTTTTAAATAGCTTTTTTTGTTATTGGGCTGAATAGTGTCAGGAGAAAGACTTCTAACATTATTAAAATTTCAGTAATATTTGTAAGCTATCATCAATGGTACATAAACAAAAACTTACTGACTGAGCCTTTAAAAAGGCACTCAATTGCATTCTTATTGACTGTGTTGATAGTTAATGCAATTCTTTGTTGAAGGGGCTCAAGTTAATCGTATTGTATATTACTTGAAATGTGATACAATTTGAATGTGGCTAAAGAGAATTTTTTTTTTTTCCTCATTCTTTTCATTCCTCATTCATTCATTTTCTTCATTATGATAACGAGACATTTGTCTCACCCTGACATTCTTGAAATGAAATGGAGATAAATTGATAGATAAAACAAAAAACAAGTGTAACTTCACTGACCTAGTTAACAATCCCACAGAGGAGCAGCAGTAGCATCCCATTCGCCAGCCCAGCTTCCAAAACACAATTTATGCTGTTGACCAGCAAAGTTGGTCTTTTCAGCAGGGGAGGCTTGTTTGAATATGATTGATATTGCATTTGAGTTGCATATACACTACATGTACGGTTGAGTTAAAACATAAACACAAAGATAAATGTTTAAAGGCGGTCTGTCAGCATTTGTATGCATGTCTGCTGCCAATGAACATGGAGAACTGCAATGCAAGCCAAGTAGAGCATGTGTTTAACCACTCTCCTTTTTAAACTCTTCCATACTTGAGTGTTTAGGCCATTTGCTCACAGAGCAGGGCACTAAAAGGTAACTTCGCAATGACATTAGTTCCTACAGCATGAGATGCTGCTATTTCAATTACTGTCTGGTCATAAGAGGACTTTTCAAAAGCCTATGTGCACCACTTCAACCTGTTCCTGCTTCCCATTATAATCTCATTTTCTTTAATCATTAGAAGCGCTGCTGATTCAGACATACTGGGTCCATCTTACCAAAGCACACATGCGTGGGTGCCAGAAGCATTGTAGACTCTTAATGCAATATAACTGCCCTTTGAACCTAGAGGCGTTCTGTATGCTAGAGCATATTACCTCTCTGAGTGGCTTTAAAGTGCGGAGTGTATTATTTGCATACATTAGGCTTTATTCCTGCGTCGCCTAAGTGAAGATGTGACGTTCACTGGCTTGGGATGCAAACTGGTGGCAATCAAATTCTGAGCGCAATTTAATGCAGCACATGAGGGAATTGAATTACATTTTAGCTAACACTGCGAAATTACCTGGGAAATAGCAGTAGACTGATTCTTTTCACTGACCTGTTTAATTAAATGGAGTTTCTCTTTCACAAAGTAATAAGTACAGACACTCTGACGCCGGGCGGATAATCCACTGGGTGATTGGACACGTTTCCTCCGCTGAGTTGGAATTGCAATGATTTACGTCAGGGATCTGCAACAGGGGGACTGACAATTATTAGTATTTCTTTTTCTCAAATGTATTTTGCAATCTTGTGTATAGTTGATAAAGGTTAATAAAAAATTCTGACATTTTACTCAACCTCAGGCCATCCAAGATGTAGTTTGTAGCTTCTTTAGAACAGATTTGCAGAATAGCCTTACATCACTTGCTCATCAATGGATCCTCAGCAGTGAATGGGTGCCGTCAGAATGAGAGTCAAAACAGCTGATAAAAACATCACAATAATCCACAAACAATCCACACCACTCCAGTCCATCAACTAACATCTTTTAAAGTGAAAAGCTGCGTCTTTGTAAGAAACAAGTCCATTATTAAGACATTTATAACTTTCTGCTAAAACAGTAGAAAGTCCTCTACCCATAATATTGCCTTCTCCAGTGAAAAGGTCGTCTCGTCTGAATCAGGAGAGAAATATGCTTTTATATACTTTAATATACTTTTTCAATGGAGGAAGCATTATTATGCATTATTAAGGATTAAGGCCAGGAGTGACTGTTTAAAGTTAAAATGACTTAATGATGGTTATGCTTATTAATGATAAAATGGGTTACACTTTATAAGGTGTCCTTGTTACAGTGTAATTATACATTTAAGTGCTGAGAAATATTAATTAACTACATGTACTTACTATATGGTCAGGGTTAGAGTTAGGGTTTGACTTGCATGTAATTATGCATAATTTATTGTTATTATAATAGTAAGTACATTTAACATGTGTTGACGAGACTATATACATATATATTTATTAGGACTGTCAGTTTAACGCATTAACTTAATGAATTAGTTATGAAAAATAACGCGATTAAAATATTTTAACGCAGCTAACGCACTGGCCCCGCCCCCAGACCTCTACGTCATCTTACATTTCATACAGCTGACTGTTGACAAATATGATGCAGGGCAACATCTCCATAAATGCAGTTAAATTCAAGATATCGGTCCAAATCGGTTTTTGTGATAAGCAATACAGTTTTATATCCAAATACCACTAGTGCAAATGTGATTTTATACAACAGTTCAGTAAATAAGAAGTTGATATTGCATAATATTTTAAATACAATATTATGTGTTTTGCACAATTTTGCAGAGAACATACCTTTAAAGCCATAATAGAATTGTTGCACGTCTCCGAGCAAACCAGCGGTGTTTAATTTCTGAATGAATCCGCGTTTTGAACGAATCTTGTCAATAAATGATTCAAAGGCCCATTCATGCAGTAGCCCCTCACTGCAGAACACAAGATCCAGGGGGTGTGGTTTGATCCACATCTAGGGGGTGGAGATTGGCAGGTTTAGGAATCAGGGGGTGGAGACGGGTAGGTTTCAGGTATATGTAAGGTGGGAGGAGTTGGATCTGGATCCAACCATCTCCATTTACTTCATTCCTGAATGAATCAGCTGTTTGAATCGAATGAATGAATGACTCATAAAGACATTTACTGGCAGCCTGCTGGCAGATTTTGTTTCTTATTTAGAGTATAATTTCATTACAAATAAAAATAATTATAATTATAATAATAACATTAAAGGGATAGTTCACCCAAAAAATATATATACATTCTGTCATTATTTACTCACCCTCATGTCGTTTCAAACCTATCTTTTGTGGAATATAAAAGAAGGTATTTTTGAAGACTGTTGGTAACAAAGCTGTTCTGGTTACAAATGACTTTCATTTTATTGAATAAAAAATACCGAGTTGTTTCTCCATATTATCTTCTTTTGTGTTCCACTGTTTATGTTAGGCCGTTGTAGCCTAAATGTTTATGTGTAATACATTTTATGTTGAATCAAATGAAATATTTCTTTGTAAAGCTACAATTTGTAATGTCTAATTGATACTTTCTCATTTAACACAAAAATAGCTTTAAATAATCTTTTGTGGGTATTTTCACAGTCAAATTGATTTTGCGATTAATTAGATTGCAACATGTAATTAATTAGATTAACATTTTTAATCTACTGACAGCCCTAACATTTATATGTACTGTATATGTATATGTATATGCATATGTAAGAATGAAAAAAATATATATCACCATTTCCTCAAAAATATTAAGCAGCACAACTGTTTTCTGCTGTGATGATAATAAGACATTTTTTTCTGAGCAGCAAATCAGCATATTATTATGATTTCTGAAGGATCGTGTGATACTGAAGACTGGTTAAATGATGCTGAAAATTCAGCTTTGCATCACAGGAATAAAATACATTTTAAAATATATTAAAATAGAAAACAGTTATTTTAAATTGTAATGATATTTCACAATATTACTGTTTTTACTGATTTTTTTATCAAATAAATTCAACCTTGGTGAGCATAAGAGACTTCTGTCAAAAGTATTTAAAAAACGGGTAGTATCTATAATGTCAATTTGATGCTACAGATGTCAAATTCTGTTTTGTCCATTATTTTTCCAATGAAGAGCCACTAATTCCAGGACATGTGCCTATATCAGTACCAGTGGCTGCGCCGCAGCTGAGCAGCATGAATCTCTGTGCTATCTGCGCAGACAGAGCTACAGGGAAACACTACGGTGCATCCAGCTGCGATGGCTGCAAGGGCTTCTTCAGGAGGAGTGTGCGCAAGAACCATGCCTACACATGCAGGTGAAAACTCACCATCAGATTCACAACTATCCACTATATGTGCTTAATACACTTACAAATCACTTTTAATTCATCTCTAAACATGCTAGTATGGCCTCTATGGATTGTTGTTATTCAAAGCAGTAAGCAATGTAGTAGGGTTTTACAGTTCACGTTAGAGACAAATGACTTTTCAGACACTGCTTGTTAATTAATGCTCACTGAAAGCACAATGAAAGCCAGCGTAGGATCCCATAAACGGTGAAACATAGGATTGAAAATACAATATACCAGGGTTATTATCATTAACTAAAATATATTTGTTAATTAAAATAAAGCTGGAATAGCATAAAGTAGAAATATTAGAAGAAACACAAAACATTAAACATTAAATTAAAACACAAATTTAGTTGAAATGGTGACTAACTGAAATAAAAGATGAAAGGCTAAAATTCCAAACTGGAAATAAATAAAAAAATAACACTGGAAAAATAAAATGAAAAAACTAATAGAAATGAGAAAAACACAATTACTAAAAAATACAAATAAAATGAAGATAAAAGCTGAAAATATAAAAATAAAAGCTAATTCAAAACGTTTATAAAAAAATATGACATTATATAAATAATACTAAAATAACTTTAGAAAGAAAAGAAAATTAAATTAAAAAACTACATTGTATCATACACTAAATATCATTTACAAAATACAGTTAGCATTTTTATATTTAATATGAATTTTATAGAATTTACAGAAATAGTTCATGAAATTAATAATTAGTGTTTCAAATGCAGACAATATACATTTGTATTCTATATAGGCTATACAATCCTGTACAACATCACAGCCCAGCTTATACAGCAGAAATCTTATTTCACATTTCCACAGGAGTTGACTGATATATTGTCTTTGTGGCTGGAGCCCATCTATAAATGATCACAGTGTCTGTGTCCTATAAAAAAAATGATCTGTGATCTGTGACCACCTTCATCAGAACGCGTAAGAGCATGACCTGGAGTGTTTCACTGGATCTCTTCAAATGTGAGAATCGTAGTCTCCTATGTACTTCTGTCTCTGTGTGTGAAGGTTCAGCAGGCAGTGTGTGGTGGACAAAGACAAAAGAAACCAATGTCGATACTGCAGACTTCGAAAGTGCTTCAGAGCCGGCATGAGGAAAGAAGGTAAAAGCCTGAGTCCATTTCCTTTTAGTTTATGATGCAGAATTTAAAGAGTTTCTTCAAGGTCACGGATCTGGACTAGGCCTGCATATAAACTAATTGAGTTATTGGACTTATCCCAATACTTGTGAATGTCTGCATCTCTCTCTGAATTAAAGATATTGAACAACTGGGTGGACTCAAACTATTACAATAAGGCAATTCCCAAAACCATCATATCAATTTTAATATACTCTCAAGGTGAAAAGCAAAGAAACAATATAAAATATCTGGGCCAATGATTAAAACTTTATAAAGGTGTTGTTCGGAGCCATGAGTCTAAGCCATCTCATCAAATATTGTTTTAAAATGCCAAGTTTCACAGTGTTCTTTCCATCTATAGAATAGAGCTTGAGCTCTCAGCGGGATGAAGCTGTGTCCATGTAATAATTAACACAGCTCCAGAAATACAGTAATACAGAAATACAGAAATACAGTATAGCTAACAAAAAGTCCACAAAAAGTGTATAGCTAACTGTATAAATGCACTAATTGCCCTTGTAAAAAAAAGAAGTATACTTTGGCATACTTCAAATTTGCAAATGAATAAGTGTGAACTGAATGTAACGTTTTAAGACACTCAATTGCATCTTAATGGAAATAAGCACATTTTATAAAATGTATATTAATATAAAAAAACATTTTTTATAAATATATATATATATATATATATATATATATATACACACACACACTACCGGTCCAAAGTTTGGGATCAGAACCATTTTAAATGTTTTTTACAGGAGTTTCTTATGCTTATCAAGGCTGCATTTATTTGATTAAAAATACAGGGAAAAAATTAATATTGTGAAATATTATTATGATGTAAAATAACGTTTTTCTATTTTAATATACATTCAAATCTAATTTATTCCTGTGATGCAAAGCTGAATTTTCAGCAT